TTGTTGGTTGGAGACAGATGTTACCCAAATGGGAGCAGTGCACACAGAGTAATCCAGCTCAAAGTACTGAAGTAACTGCAAATTCTCTTAGAAAATCAAACTGTCTAGAAAATACTGAAGCTTTGTCTGCATCACAAACCACAGCTCCCCTGAGAGGGTTGAGAGCTCCAAAGGCCAAGAGGAAAGGAAGGAGCTGACACCCCAGCACTGGGAAGGATGAGAAGATTGGGACACCTCCAGCAGCCAGGCTGGCTGGCCCAGGTGAGAAGCCAGCTCTGCAGGGACCCCATAAATATGCAGAATCCACCTTTTCAGAAGACATTCCAGTTTCTGTCCCTTTGTTTGAGCTGCAGCACACCTCCACCAACACAGCACATGGGATGATGAGAGTGCAAAGGGTGTGCAAGTACCCTGGTGGGTTTGGGGGCTGGTGTGGAAGATGCCCCAGCTCACCAATGATGGGAGCATCAGAAATAGCACAGAGCTGTGCTTAAGCACACATTTTTTAAATCCCTGTTATTAGTCAGAAGATCCCAGTCAGAGGAAAGAGACTTTCTCTGTTTCAGAAGGGCCAGTTGGCTTCAGTCTGAGCACCTCTGGCCAGGTGCCTGCAGCATCCCAAGAGGTGGATTTCACTCCAGCCCAGCCCACACTGAGATGAAGCCACATGCCTGAGCTCTCCCTCTCTGCAACAAAACTCCCAGCAAACACTTCTAGTGAATATGGGTTTGCTTATTTTCTATTTTCATCAGAAAGTGCAAAGGACCATAAGGAAGCTGCTGCTATTGCTTGTCCCTCTTAGAGCTTCCAAGATCAGCTCAAGCTCCTCTATCCTCCCACTTCTGCTGCAAAGTCCTGGATAGAGAGCTTTGTTGCCTCCCAATTCATATGTGATGAGTTAGACTCAACCAGATGTTACGTGGGCAGAAATACCTATTTGAAGTTAAAAGCCTGTGATTACACTTGCCAACCAGCCATTAAGAAAGTATTAAATGCAGAAATTATCCCCCCCTTCTTGTTTCAATACAATAGCATCTTTATAATACACTTAAATTGCCTACTTTTAATTTTAGCTCCCTTGTTTCTAATACAACATGCAGAACCATTTCACTTTATCAGTAGCTCCTGTGAACTGGAAAAGTCAAGGAGAGGAAAAAAAGCCAATATCCTTGAGAATTAGACAAAGGGGGAGAAATTAGCTGGAAGATCTTGCTTTCCCTTTTCTACTGTTAGCACAACTTCTCAATTTACTTTATCAGATTGCCTTCCAAAGAGAAGCATTTTTCAAGAGGAGCAGAGATGAAAGGGATTATTACTTATAGAGACTCTTCTTGAAAGAGACAAAATATTTGGCAATTAAAGCACAAGGAGCTGCAGACTCACAAGGAAAGCAGTGACATTAGCATATTTTCCACTAACCTCCCACGATGGAGAGCAGTAACTCTGCTGCCACGGATGGCCCCGACTCTCCACCACCTGCCCCAGGCTCGGCACCTCTGGCCTCTTGTGCTGCAGCCCAAGCCCGGTGCAGGGAACTGACACCAGTCAGGGCACTCAAGGTGCTGCCAATCCCACCAGCTGTGGCACAATCTTTGCTTTCTCCTAATGGGGTTGATAAATGTTTAAAGAAGAAAAATATAGATCAATAGACCCCTGCAGGAGAGGAGCTCTGACGTTTGGCAG